CCCCAAAACCCCAAAACCCCAAAACCCCAAAACCCCAAAACCCCAAAACCCCTAACTCAAACTTTCAGCTTGATAGTTGTAAAAGCTTAATCATGGAAGCTTTCTCTAAAACTTCAAGCTCCTACTATTTTAAAAGGCTTGAGACGTGGCACTCAAAGAATTAGAGAAGTATCAACAGCCGCGAACAAATAGACTAAATCCATCTCTCAAAATAATTGAAAATACTTATAAATCCTCTTGGGTAATTCCAACATGCGCCTGGTAGAGGTCTGAATAAAGCTCTAAAAATCCAATCATTTGCTTTCTTGAGTACCCTGATTTATAAATCATTGGTCTATGCTTGACCTGGTCTTTCAGGAAATATATAGTTGGCATCTCCCCAACTTGGTACAAAGGAGGGACATAATTTTTGTCTGCTTCCATCTGAACCACATGGAAATTCTCGATCTCCTTGAGAGGTCCATTGGCTAAAGCCTCTAATTCTGTTCTAAATTTGGCACATCTTGGATTCCATGGAACATAGAACATAATGATGAATTCATGACCAGTTTGGTTGGTAAATTCATTGAAGTTCCTTCCGACTAAATTTATGATTCCATTTGTGTTATTCTTCACGAAAGGTTCCTGAGATCTTACAAATGGTTCGATACGATCATAGTATACGTCGTCAATAAATTCTTTCACAAGAGTGAAATTGAACGGGTCCAAAGAAGACGACACAGGGGCTAGGGACTTATACCATTGTTGGTTCTTCCTTGCTACTAGTTCTACCTCTCTTGAAGTGTCTAGCAGATAGTTAAGATGTCTCCATTCATCTTCAGAGCTAACAGCAAATTGTGTCTTGTTCTTAAGATCCTCATAGATTCCAGAAAGATGTGTACGGTAAAAAGAAACAGCCTTGTTCTCCTTTGAGAGGTCAATTTTATCAAACAAAAGTAGTGTCATCATCTTCTCAGAATCATAATATAGATCACTATACTTAGTGTACAAGTCTATCGGTAGATTATGATTTTCTTTCACAAATTGATAAATCGTTTCAGAAGAATTTGTCTTCCGAAGTATTTTAGTCTCAGTATGGTTCATCATCTCTTGTTTATAAAAGAAAGCTACAGCATTAGTGGGATCTTCCAAGCCCAGCTCCTCTCCAAGAGTAGTATTGAGTGTATACGCAAAGTTAACATATCTACAAATAACACCACCCTTAATAAAAGCTTTGCATTCGGGCGATTGCTCATCTTCAAAAACTCCGACCACCAGATGGTGGCCCCTATTAAAAATTCTCTTGAACTCTCTCATGTTCCGAAAAACTTTAGGTCCTGGAGCAATGATCCTCCGGGCCCAGAAGAGCAGGTCTTCAGCTGTTCTTTCCTCCTCTTCATAGTATCTATGAAGCATTTTCTCTCCAGAGTTGATAACCACGATTCTAGGAGTCTCTTCGATCTTAAAGAAAGTTGCAATTTTGTAGTTTGCCCGCTTATAGACTTTACTGCAATAAATTTTCTCTTTGTTCCTAGCTAAAACCTTGGCTGCTTTCTTGTACTCTGAGTAGTAATCTTTTTGAGGGGTTACACTTTCGTCGTAAAAATAGAGCAACATTGCTCCTTCAGTGTCTCTAGTGTGGTTAAACAATACCCCGTAGTTTTTGTCAGTGATGATGTAGACGTCATCGTCCATTGGAAGGTCAAGTGCATTCACAAGGCTGCTTAGATATCCAATAAAAGTGATTGCTAAAATCAGCTTCATCAAAGTTTTTATAATATTTCAATAATCTTGAAAATAATTGGGGTTTTGGGGTTTTGGGGTTTTGGGG